TATTATTATTATTATTATTATTATTATTATTATTATTATTATTATTACTGTTTGATTTATTACGTTCTTTTATTAACACCCCGGGCCGTTCGCGTACACATAAAATATACAAGCCAGCACATTGTACATCGTACAAAACGCGCGCACGTGTATACGTTATAATCGGATTTTTATTCCGTCGAACGTAATAAAATGAAAGAAAAAATGTGTCTAATCCAAATATATATATATGTTTAATTTTATTTATTTATTTATTTTTTTTTACATCGTCGTAAACTATGAACCCAACCAGATAGAACACCGCTATGAACGCGATGCAATGCAGAGAACAACAATAGTTGATGTATCACTCGAGTCGGTGACTTTTACTTTTTCCCTCCAAGGTTAATCGCTTCGGATCCGGTAGTTTTTCACGACCTGCAGGTGCGCTCATTGCTGCGTTTATCGTGCACAAGACCCCCTCTGGTGCGTCATGATGTATGGTTAACGTAATCGATCGGGTTTCTTTTTAAGAACGGTTATAAAACGAAGAATAAAACTTAAATGAACTTTGATGTTCCGTTAAATCAACTCGGCACGTTTCTGAAGTTAATCACACAACAGAGTCGTAGCTGCAACTAGACGTCCATAATTTTATCTGGTTTACGTGAGAAATAATTATATTTTTTTCGACCAAAGTTTCGAAATAAATTGATCTCGCGACATCGGTAGTCGTGTGTGTGCGATTAACCGTAAAAACAAAAATCCCAACGAGGTTTTCAGACACTTTCTTTTAACTGTATATGTACTCGATGTCAGACTTTAAATCTCCACTTGTCAAATAATATAGTAATCCTCTGCCTATGCACATGTGATCCTAAAAAACCAATAACAGCCCTACCGCGTGGACTACTTTATGCCGTTGAATATTGCAGTATATTTTAAATTTCGCCGAGTGTATATATATATACAAGTATATATTTAAAAAAAATTCTTCTTACGTTGGATTCGAATTTAAATTAATTTAATTGATAAACACAATTTTTTACACAAAGAGGCCATGTGGCTTAGGACTATAAAACCCGTACTATAAACACATTAATAGACCATTAAACGTTTTCATGTTTATATAGTGTCATCGAATTAAGAGCAGATACACACGCAGTATACCTATATATTTGCGTGCGTGGTGCATACGGAAACAACAAAAATTCTTCAGTGCCAAGATAACTCAATAATACGATGGTTTCAAGGTAAAGAGGTTAAATCGATGTTTAGTGAAAACGGGAATATTTTACAATATGAACTAATTTTTCATTCTTCATAAATGAATAAAATGGGATATCTCACTTTCATCAACAAAATGAAATTATAGTCAAAAGTAATTTGAGATGGGAACAAAAGTGTTTTAGTAACATAAGACAAAAATTATATATAAATTATAAATAATATATAAAACAAATTCTAATAAGACACCTGTCTTATATCTTTTATCTATCACTGAATAAAGTTAGAACTACTGACTTGTTAAGCTAATGATATTTTGATAGACAACGTAATATTTTTAATGCAAAGTATATTATTATACTTATTATTATTATTATTATTACTTTATGTTCATTGTAGATATTGTTATAAAATTAGTCAAGAATCTATTAGCGACAATAAAGTCTCGCTTTTCGTTTACTGTAAGTTTCATATCTTGCTATGATATGTGACGATGTTAATAGAAAAGCCTTCTCTGGCCAATATAAATCTCGGATACGTAGAAGAATGGATAAATAATAACTTTTTCGAATAACATACCACCGTTCTCGTCTTCCGAGAAAGCATCAAAAATATCGATTTAATAAAAATATGTTAAAAAATGTACCTTAATAATACGAATATATTGCTTTAGGTCTTATTATATAAATAATGAGTAATTAAAACATTCCACAATAATTATAAATCGTAGAAAGAACGTAAAATATCATTTCTCGCAATCGGAAAAATTTGAATGCTATAGAATTATAGATATACATAATATAATATATTATAATTAATATATAGTATATTATACTTTGTAAGAAGTAACAAAATAATGTAAATAAAATGAAGGAGGATCTTAATTGCGAAAAACTCGAAGACGACAGAATTGATTTTCGTGTGGAAAAAAAAATCCAATAACGGCATCTCGATTATTCTCCATTATTCAGCGACGCTGATAAAACTAATAATCGGCATTTAATATCTATGTCTTAATGATCATGATTCTGAACCAGTGTATCACGAATTAGCATGGTACATAACGTCAAAATATTATCAATTAAAACGGTAAGCTTTGAAACTATAAACATATGATATTATTACGGCGTTACGATGAAAAGCATGAATAAATTGGTGAAAGTTGATCACTTAAATGATTCTATAATTTTTTATCTAAATCATTTAGTTTGTAATATATTCACTACATGATACTGGTATATTATTTGTTATGTTTATATTTTAACGGGTCCGATATTTACGAGTATAACCTACCCAAGACTTATCTAAACACTTCTGTAGAGCCGGATGTACCTCCGACCTGAATGATATAATATCTCAGAAACAAAAAATTACATGTTAAAACAATCTTAATAAATTACTATCATCGGCGCAAAGATTGCGTGCACCTCCAAATTATGGAAACCCTAAGCTCTATTGCGTCAAATTCAATCATTCTTTTTGTTCTCGGTACTATTATTTGTTTTTTTTTTTTCATTATTTTAATTTCCTGAAAAACGCTATCCACGATCATCGAATAATCTAATGAACTCAATGCGTATACGCGTGCTTCTATTCGTCGTATTTCTTCGCTTCACTTGATTTTCGGATAGAAAACAACATAACAAATTAAAATACCAAATAAAGAGAAGTGAAAGCCGACAAATTTGTTTGGAAAAAAAAAAAATTCATCAAACAGCAACTTTGCTCTTGTGCGATGCCTGTAGTTGCGGAAAAAAACGGATAGTAAATTTTTGGCTAATGCTAATGCGGTGACTAAATAATTATTGTAAACAACCCATCCCGTGATACTATGTACACACGGAGCGAATATACAGCACGCTGTTCTCCGAAATCGACATGACGAATAGAATCCAAATAATTAGATGCAGGTGGGAGAACACGGTGCCACGAGGCAATAATAAAAATCTATAATAGCCCAAAATCGGAGGTCGTTTCGTCACTCTTGATCGCTAACACTATTTCAGCGACCCACAACAAACAATTTAATTTTTATGTAATAATTAATGCAGTGTGAGTCAACTTTTTTGTTTTTATGATAAATTAATTTTATACATTTATTTGTTCTAATTATTCACGATAAGTCCATACTTTGAATAAAATCTTTTCAAATTCTACAAATAATAAATATAAATATATTTTAAATATATATATATATAACATTTTTTTGAATTATTAATACTTTTTTGTTACATTTATTTATTTTTATTAAGATTGTCTACTATTAAGTTATATTCTAAAGTATTTATTCGTAGTTTTTCTAAATAAAAATAGTGGAAATATAATAAAAAAAAAATACCAAACACTTTTCTAACCGGTAATTAAAGAAAATTAATGCGTAGAGTATTTCCAACAAGCATCATAAAATGTACACACCCAAAAATAGGTAATTCTCGTCATAAACTTAACTTCTTTCTCCTCCTACTCCTCTTGCTCCTCTCTTTCGATGACTAGTATTTTTATTTTCATCTCTTTTTATCGATGATCCTACCTGCAGTCCCATATTGACCAGTACAATAAATCTACTCTAAGATCCACGGAATTGGGCAACATAACAACACGATTTATATTAATATTTATTATTTATTTACTTATGAGCACAAATAAATGCTTAACGGAAACACATATTAATACTATATAATATTTCTAGTTCACCGGTTTATTGTGGACATCATAAATGGGAATGGAAAATTTTAATAATCTACTAAAATTCAAGCATCGAGATAACACGCAACCGACGATTTTCAGGAAACCGTCTTATTTTTAGTTACCCCTACTCCGAAGAAACATTAATACATTTCCGTTCAAATTTTGAATGATAATTGATGTCTATTATCATGTTTATTGTTTTTAAATTCTATTTGGTTTCAGCTAAATCCCACAGTAAATATCACACGGATAGTGTTAATAAAGGCATATATCCAATACAATTTTATGCAAACCACTCATCAAATCAATACACTACGAAAAATACGAATACTACGGTTTTGAACAAATTAAATGCATAAATTAGTAAAGTAATGACATAACGAATTTTAAAAGCATAAACGTGTTTATAGTTTCCTAGATCTCTATGAATACTACTGCAGTACGATACCAGCGGAAACATAATGACTTCTAATGTACGCACGGTATATTAGAGTGATATTGTATATAATATAGTACGATGCATATATATTTTACACTGTAAAAAGTATAAGAAACAAGTTTTATTAAAAAAAAAAGAAAAAAAAACCCGTGGTAAATTTCATACGTATGTCCGAACAACACGAGATCTCAAGGTTCGACTCACTCGTAAGATTAACGACGGTTATAATATTATTATTATTATTTGCGTACGATTTATGTGATTATTCTGTGTCTAACAGGAAATAATATCATAACTGTTATCATTTCAACGTGGAAAAAGAACTGCAATTGCACAATATACGTATAATTACATCGTATGTGCACCATGTGAATGTGTTCTATTATACTATTACACGTGCACGTGCATATAAAGTAAAAATATTTTTATGGATTCAGATAAAATAAAATATATTATTTGCCGAAGTAAGGAATCTTTCGTATAATTGAATCTTTTCCATTTAAGCGCGGTGGACTCTCTTTGATGCATACAATCTTGTCTTCCGGTAACGTTTTTATATAAAACGAACGTTCGAACATATGTCATTGATAGAGTTCCAAAAGATAAAAAGTGAGAGAGGAAACCGTTTTGATTTTATTTTATTTTAAATGCTAAACATCAAAAATCCCCACGTTGCGAACAATAATAAAACGCTTAATAGTTCGATCGTAAACGCTGAAATCGGCACGCTAATTACGTAAATTTCGAAAATAACTTTTCCTCAAAACGAAACGCACGCGCATGTATGATTTAAGTGCATTCGAGATCGATGCCAGCTTAAGGATCTATGGTCCAAGTCGCTAACCGGCCTGTTCTCGACCAAACATCATAATATCTAGTACAAACTGTTTAGAAACGTAACAAAATAATAATATTTTTCGAATAAATTCAAAAGGAAAAAAATAAATCGCTCTTTGACAAACCGAAGTCCGTGTCGTGGTACACCAAACACATTTCTATTGGACGACTTCCAGTCGTTCTAAATTCACACCAACACACAGCTTTCGATTACAGAATAATAACGTATTTATGTTTTTTTTTTTCATTTTTTTCTTTTTAACGTTCGTGTCATGTTATGTCAATTTCAAAGTCTGGCCAAATTACTGCATCAGCACAAATCTCCAATTTTCAGCTCACCGTTCATCTTTCCACAAAGTGTTTCCAAAATGTACTTCGGAACGAAACGCGTTTCATTACGATCTAAGAAAATTACAACACCTTCGAAGGCATACCGCCTATTATATAAACGTACAATTTTGTAACATATAATACTCCGGATCACGGTAATATTTTATTTTTGGACTCATAAAATGAAAAGCACGCAGCAATAAAACGCCCTTTATTGTGAAGAATTTCCACACATTCATCCATTTATACAAAATTTTAATTGGATGTATAAATGAAAGATTTATAATACAAAAACATTGTTTACCACATTTCGGATTACTATGTCGTTATAATACACGTGAAAAAAAAACATTATCTGTGTATTTTGTTCGAAAATTGTCATTAAAAAATTTCATTCGGAAATCAAAAACATAGCAGAAGCAACAACAGTATATAGAAAATTGTATAAAATAGACAATTTATAACTTTTCTTGAGTGGAAATTTGGGTCTTGTGGCTACTAAATCACGATATATTGCGCATGTGAAACTGGATAAATCAAAACGCCAACAGCAACTGCGGTTAAAGAGTAAACATTAATGTTTATTGTAAATAAATTAAAACAACTAATTTAAATATTATAAAAATATATTTATATATTAATATATTTTCACATTTAATTATGAAAATACGAGGTTTGAGACATACGTAATCTGATTGATTAATGCGTGAAAATATCGAAACGACAACAACACGAATATCGAGTGGTTAAGGAATAAATATAGGAGACAATATTATTAATATTTATGGCATATAATACTATCATTGCACATTCTGAACATAATAATAATAATAATAATATTAATATCACCATTGTGTAATTATAAACGAGCGCCATAAGCCCTCAACAATACGGATGCGAAATTAATTTCACGTCCAACGCGTATGCGCATGTGTATAAATTATAAAAAGAAAATTATTAACTCCACGGTAATAGCCACTCGTTGTAGTCCATTTTTTATTTAGACGTTAGAAACAAAAATTAACCAACGGTTCGTTAAAAGCACAATGCATCGCGGCAGCAATGGCGGCGGAGGTTAAGATATTTTTTATTCGTTCGAACGCAACGCTGCATAATAGGTGAATAATGTGTACAAGAAGATTTCAGTTATCAGACCTTGATAAGGTTACTCTAATTACTTATTAACCAAGTTTTAGAATATGATAATATTCTTGACTACATATTTAGCACACTTATTTTCGAGTTTATCACGGTCATTCGGTCGGATGAACAAACACCACCGCCTCATCCCCTCGAATTAAAAACTTTCTTCGATTTCAACGTCTAATGATCAAACGAATGATTTAGAAACAACCGAAAAAATCCAACATTAGTGAATCGAAAATAGATGGAAAAAAAATTACTAAAGTAACAATTATTACAATTGAGCTCAAGACCATTGGGTGATGATTGGTTTTACTATGCGTTTTACACACATCGCCGCGCATATGAATCGTTAAATACATTTAGAGAAAACTAATTTTTTCATGCTCAGAGTCATTTTTCTTATTTCAATTCGAGCTCTAGCTATTACACACACGCTTATAGTAAAAGATACTCCGCTTGAAACGGTCAATTAAACGCGAGGACTGAATATTACTACAAAGTTTCGTCATTGTTTACAATAATATATATATGTTCTACCTATTCGTTAATATTGCGTACATAGGAACAGCAAAAGCGAAGACGTCTAGATACGTTGTGTAATTATTGCGTTGCATATTCTCCAATAAAAATTATATATAATATAATTGCACTATCAACAGTCCGAGATGCGGAAAACATTTTTTATAAACAAGACCATTGATGCTTCGACAACAATTGACATTGCTGATATTGATATTGCTTAATTAATAATTGCATGTCGGTTTATTAAAATACGAGTGCTTGTCGATCAATTGCCTATTGTCCGAGACACTAATTAAATATATATAAGAACTCGATTTCCGTCACTTTTATTTGTTCTCATGGATCCATGGTACAGATAAAATACCATAGGAATGCTGAGATTTAGTTCATGGACTATTGTGGAGACATTTGTTATTTGATTATGTTACCACTTAAACCGGTTTGTCAGGCGGAACACTCAAAAAAGTCGCATGATGAATAATACGATAAAATAGACTGAGATTCATACGCTGCTCAAAGTTTGAGGGAATATGATAAAATATTTACTAAAATAATGAGCTTACAACGATTTTTAAGTTATACGTACATTCTTTCAAACTACGTCTAAGTACTAATAGAATTTTAGAGTAAAATAAATTAGTCTCTATATATTCTCATAAGTCGGATAACTTCCTCCAAGAGAAAAAATAATAAATAGTACTCCAGACTAGATTAAAAAACAAACGAATTCTAAAAGCATATGTCGACTATGTTAAACTCGATAGTATCAAATATTGTACGGTCCGACCATCTTGTATTTTACGTCATGGCACTTTTAAAGTATTAAAACCAAACTTGAATACCGGTGCCGGGAACAAAATATTCTGCGATCATAAACATGATAAACAAATAAAAGAAGAAAGAATATTATGATATACACTATACGAAGAGTATATTATTCGTGCACGTATAAAAAAAACAATGACGGTCACTGCGAAATAAACGGACAATAATATAAACGCGAATACGTGTACGTGAACCAAATAATAAAAGAATAAGAAGACGTTAAATCAAGCCTTAAGGAAAAATAAAACGCAAAATTTCTTATTATAATTATACTAATTTATTAATAAATAATTTATTCTCTAATCTGAGGCATGAATAAACACTATAGGTGAAACATACAATGAACAGGAAACAAAAAAGGAACGGCCGTTATAATATCTGCCAAATATAAGTAAAAAAATTTAAATTTTTAATTAATTTTGTGGTTTTTTTTTTATTTTTTCTTATTTTAAAGTCGTAAATTTGGTAATCGGAGTCGAGGGTGAACAGAACTAAATCATTAGAAAGAAGATTTATTTCACGTATATAACAACAACATTATAATACTGAAAACTGTTTATGCCTCTACTTTACCCAATCACCCTTTGACCGTATACTGACCAATGTATGTTGGTTATTGATTTGAGCACAGATGATCGACTGTCGTTACGCATCCACCGTCCTGACCGTCGAGTTTTTGTTATGATACGTTTCCAGTCGGTGCGACAAATCATGAATTATGTCCCGGAACACAACCGAGTCGATATTGTCTCCGAGCACGTACAACAGCATCCAGTCGCCTAGCTTTGATCGGCGCACGATGTTGCCAATGGCCTGCCGTTTGATCAGCCGAAACCGTATGCAAAACAAGTACACACGCATCCGTGGGGATACTATTATAATGAACCTAAAAAATGAAATTAGATGTACAAAACTATTATCTAAAATTTTTATAAGTTTGTCGACTATCAACATGCGTTAAGCGTATCTGCAGGATTACAAAGCTCTATAAAAGTAATCGAAAACTTTCAAATTATAAAAATCACAGTTTTATCCATAATGCTGATAATTGCAACAACCTTAAAAGCATCCAATTAGAGTTACTAAGAAATGAATTCCGAGAAAAAACGAGAAATAACATTTTAATTTTGAGATCCAGAATAGATTTAATAATTTATTAAAAAATGAATAAATAGAAATAGGATAAAAGATTTCTTTCATAAAAAAAATTTTATTTCTGAATATTTAGTTTAACTATTGGGTAATTTAGTACGATACAAATAATATCGATTTGTAATCTGAAAGCACTACTATGAAAAAATAAAATAGTACACTACAATTTAAATTAAAATAAAAGTCTTTAAACTATTATTTTGTGTAATATACTACAATTGTGACTAAGATACGCACAAACTTACTCGTAGTCATAAACTTTTTTTTTCAAAAAAAATAAAAAAATAAATGACTTTCTTTTTAAAACTAGAATGCTATTTTAAAATTAATTTGTTATATTTAAAAAAAAACACTATATTGTTCACCGAGGCGTATTTACGTGTTTTCCACGTGTACGTCTGTGGAAAATTGCTGCTCTAAATAACTAAAATAATATACCGCACTAAATTAATTATTATTTAATTTCCTACTATAAAATATATATAAATTAGGTAAGTATGCAAAACAAATTTTATTTCAATACTAAAATATAATGTCTTAAGATTTAAACGATTTTTATTAATAATTAATAACAAAATACATTCTTCAAATTTGCTTCGGTAAGCACGTGCCAATAGTGTCTGCATATAAATACGCTACGGCGCGCCACTGATAGTTCAATGTTATATATTAAGTAAAATACAGTATATTAACTTTCAATATAATTAAATAATAATACTGAATTCTAAAAACCTATGGTAAGTAAGAACAGTGGCGTAGCCAGGAAACTTTTGTGGGGGGGGGTTCAGCAAATTTATGTATATTTAATGTTATCATTATCATTTTGACTACTATTTGTATTGATCTTGGTATTTTTAAGACTGGTTGACATTAGTTTTTTTGACTCGGGTGAAAAAAAATAATTAATTTTTCTAGTCTGCTTATTTGTTAGAGAATTTGCCTATAATAATAAATAATAATAATAATAATAATAATAGTAACAATTTAGGAACTAGGAACTAATATAGGAACATAAATATTAGATATTGAAATATTTTCTGTCCAATCACTTAGGTATACTAAAAATTAAATTTTTAAATATCTTACCATAGTGGAATGTTTAGAAGTCTTAGATTGATGTTCAATTAAAATAAAACAAATATAATGGAATACAAATGTCAAATATAAACGAATAAACGAGTAGTAAATAAAACAATGAGACACCAACGGGTAACGACTAACTATTAACTAATAACAATTAGTTTTACACAATAAGGTACTTGAGTTAAATGATCTGCGAGCCGCGAATGCAATGGTTATACCCAAAGTAAACTTTGAATACAGACAATGATATCGCTTTTATGTCAGTTATCGGGACCAGACGACCGATTTAGAATCAACCATAGTAGAAAACCTAAATAATATGTTTCCAAGCAAAAATTATCAAAGTAGTAATAAAGTATCTAAATATGATCATAATATTATGACGTGTGTGTGTGTGTGTGTGTGTGTGTGTGTGTGTGTGTGTGTGTGTG